GATATGTTTGATGAACTCTTTGGGGCTGCTTATTTTATCAAACTTGATTTCATTTCGGGGTTTCATTAGGTTCGGGTTCACTCTAAAGACATCCATAAAACTGCCTTTCGTACACACCATGGCCACTATGAGTACTTAGTGATGCCTTTTGGCTTATGCAATGCCCCCTCCACTTTCCAAGCTCTCATGAATTCTATTTTTCGCCCTTATTTATGAAAATTTATTTTTCGCCCTTATTTATGAAAATTTGTGCTAGTTTTCTTTGATGATGTTTTAATCTATAGCCCTAATTGGAAAATGCATATTGAACATGTGAAACTGGCTTTTGAAATATTGAGGCAGCATAAGTTCTTTCTTAAACTCAGTAAATGTGCTTTTGGGCATTATCAAATTGAGTATTTGGATCATATTGTGTCTCATGATGGTGTTCAGGTGGATCAAGGGAAAATAAAGGCAATGCTTGACTGGCTAAACCTACTAATGTCTCTGAATTACGTGGTTTTTTAGGTTTGACAAGTTATTACAGGAAATTTGTATGTGACTATGGCGTGATAGGTCAACCTTTGACTAATTTGTTAAAGAAAGGCCACTTTTCTTGGTCTGCTGAAGCTGAAGCATCTTTTTAGCCCTGAAACAAGCCATGACTTCAACGCTCTTCAACGCCTACACTTGCATGCCCACTTTGAATTGAACCATATGTTATCTACCACATATGCATCCAATACTGGCACTTGCAATGCCCAACTTTGATGAACCTTATGTTATTACCACATATGCATCCAATACTGGCATAGGAGCTTTCTTATCCCAACAAGACAGACCCATCGCGTTCATGAGTCGCGCTTTGGGAGTTTCCAAACAGTCATGGTCTACATATGCCAAGGAGATGCTGGCTATACTTCAAGCTATTTGTACTTGGCGACCTTATCTGCTCGGCCATAAATTTTACATTCAAACGAATCAATGAAGCTTAAAGTGCTTAGTAGAATAGCAGATTGTCACTCTAGAACAACAGAATTGGGTCTCCAAACTGTTGGGGTTTGATTATGAGATCATCTACAAGCCGGGTAGAGAAAATAAAGTAGCAGATGCCTTGTCATGCATTTTAGGTAGCCCTAGTCTCAACACTCTTTTCCTTCAATAAACTTCCTTATGGGATAAAATTCGGGCAATTGTCTCAACTCATCCTTATATGCTTCATGTGGGCAAATTGGCTACGGAGAAACCTGGCGACCCTTATTTGTGGAGAAATGGTTTAATTCTTTACAAAAATCGGGTGGTGATTCCTCCTAATACTGATTTAATTTGTCAGCTTTTACAGGAATTTCATGATTCTCCATGCGGCGGTCATTCTAGAGTTTTGCGCACATATAAGAGAATACTACAGCAGTTTTATTGGCCTTCTATGAGAAATCAAATTCAGCAATATATTTCTTCTTGTTCTGTTTGTCAGAAAAACAAGGCTTCTACTTCATCTCCGGCTGGACTTCTCCAACCTACCAATTCCTCACCAAGTCTGGGATGATATAACAATGGATTTCATTGATGGACTTCGACTTTCATATGGCAAAAATTCAATTCTGATAGTGGTTGATCGACTCAGCAAGTATGCTCATTTCTTAGCTTTGTCTCATCCTTATACTGCCAAAATAATTGCTGAAAAGTTTGTTGATGGAGTTGTTAAATATCATGGGATGCCCAAGTCTATAATCAATGACCATGATCCTATTTTTATTAGCAATTTTTGGCGTGAGTTCTTCAAATTATCTGATACCAAGTTAAATATGAGCTCATCTTATCATCCTCAAACTGACGGACAATCTGAAGTGACAAACAGATGTCTCGAACAGTATCGTCGCTGTTTTGCATCTCAACAACCGCGTAAATGAAGTTCATTTCTTCCTTGGGCCGAATTCAGGTATAATAATTCCTTTCATATTTCAATTGGAATGTCTCCTTTTATGGCTTTGTATGGCAGACCTCCACCGTCAATACGACAGTTTGAGATGGGACAATCACTTGTTCATGAGGTGGATCAAAATTTGGTCACTCGAGATGAAATTCTGCAGGAACTAAAAGTTAATCTTTCGCGTGCCGCAAACCGGATGAAGCAAACAGCTGATTTAAAACGCAAGGATGTTGAATAGCAAGTGGGTGATCTGGTTTATCTTAAGTTACAATCTTATCGTCAACACTCAGTGTACAAGAGAGCTCATCAAAAGTTAGCTAGTCGATATTATGGGCCTTTTCCAATTGAAGCTAGAATTGGGAATTTAGCTTATAAATTGCAACTTCCTGCAAGCTCCAAAATTCATCCGGTTTTCCATGTGTCGTTTTTAAAGAAACATGTTGGAGATGGTGTTCTTATCACCTTGGACTTGCCTCTATTGTCCAATTCACCTTGGACTTGCCTCTATTGTCCAATGATGGTGATGTTCTCTTGGAACCAAAGGAGGTATTGGACACTAGATGGATTAAAAGGGGTTCACGCTTTGAGCAGGAAAGTCTGGTTCTATGGAAGCAATTGCCACAAAAAGATGCCACAAGGGAAAATTCTGAGATGCTGAAAGAAAGATTTCCTACTTTGAACCTTGAGGACAAGGTTCCTTTGAAAGGGGATGTAATGATAAGCCACGAAGGTCCTCAAGGATGCCTATCCAAAACAAAAAATATTTGGACTAAGCCTCTACTTAAGTTTGTTGGTCTGCTACATTTTTTTTTTTTGTTTATTTGTTACTGAGATAAGTCAATTTGCTCTCTGATTTTTGGAAGCAAAATCTAGCTAGTTTATCTAATAAGTGCCGTTTATGGCCTTAAGAATAGGATCAAGTTGTTACAAAGTTGTTACACTCTTTTCTATTTATTCTCTTGTAGTCCGCAACAATAAAGGCATGAATGAAAAAAATCTAGCTAGTTTATCTAATAAGTGCCGTTTATGGCCTTAAGAATAGGATCAAGTTGTTACACTCTTTTCCTATTTATTCTCTTGTATCCGCAACAAAAAGGCATGAATGAAAAAACACTTAAAACTTCTTATTCTCTCTACTTAATTCTCTTTGGCTTTGACTAGGACCTATCAAACTACCCATGAGAAGCTGTATGATGAAGATAGCGAAGCAATTGTTTGCATGCCTGCCTATGTACATCAGTTGCATAATGCTTAATTTTGCTAATTTGTTCACACTGAAGGCTATATCCGGATGTGTCAATGTGACATATTGCAGCACCAATCACTTGACGATATTGCTCTCCCGAGGACAGTTGTGTACCCATTAATTTGCTCAAATTAGGAGTTGCAGCCGTAGGCATTTAACAACCCTTTGAATTATGCATTTTTGTCTCCTTTAATAAATCATCAACGTATTTTGCTTGAGACAGAATCAGACCATTAACGATATGCTGCACTTCAATACCAAGAAAATAATGGAGAGACCCCAAATCTTCAATAGGAAACACACTTTTCATGTGATTAAGAAACCAATTCATTTTTGCATTTTCATTACATGTAACAATAATGTCATCAACATACACAAGGACGTAAATTTGTAGAGTACCTTGGCGAAGAATGAACAATGAGTGATAAGCTGGTGAAGAATAAAAAACAATACGAAAAAGAAAATCGAACAGCTGTTGGAACCTATAGCTAATGGAATGGGATTAGTTGATACGGATAGAGGTTGTTCAAGTTGGGGAGAAGAAGAAGGATTAAGGATAATGGTTGATTGTGGATGAGAGTTAATATTGGGAGGAGAGAATGTTGGAGATAAAGGAGAATGGGATGGAGAACTAAGATCTGAAGACGTACTTGATGCAAAGTCTGTATGTGGATTGGAGTATGTCGTGACACTCATCTAAGGGCTGGTAGGCTGCATTTCTATTGAAGATGGGACACCTGCACGAAATGGAAATTCTTTGGCATGAAATTTAACTTGTTTTTATCAAAGTTAGAAATGCAAAACTTTCTAAGCGTTTATGAATTGAAAAAGTAGCAGAGGGCCATACTAAGGTGCTAAAACTCTTTGTGAACACTTTAAGAATTTGACTTGATTTTATGATTTATGTGTATAACTATTTCCATCTTGCCAGTTAAGAAATTGAGATTTAATAGAGTAATATCTAACCATCAAATCCGATAAGATTTGAAATACTTATACAAGTAACAGATGAATATTAAAATCTGAATCTGAATCTATTTGAAACCAGCGATTAACCAGCAGTTTAGTTGGATTCAAATTAAGAATTTTCTTTTTTATTTTTAAAATTATCACCTAATTTATTTTATACCCCTCTAGAAGTCTACTTGATACATTTTACTTAATTTTTTTTTAAATACATTTTACTTAAAAAGTTAAAATCTAAAGAAGTAAAATGGTAAAAAAAAAAAGTGAAATATTTGATCTAAACTTATATTGTTTGATACAAATGAGAGTTTTAATATTTTTTTTCTTTTTACATTTTTTACTTAGTTCAAAATTAGATTGTTTGAAGTATTTTTTAAAATTTTCTAACAATTTAATTTGATTAATAATATTGAGACAAAATAAAATGATAATTTATTTAATTATTTTATAAAATTAATTAATTTTATAGCTCAATTTTGGTCTAAGTGAATTTTTTTAATGGTGTCCAAATTTAAATATATGAGAAAAATAATAAAAACTGTTTCAGTTTTGATTTGATCCAATTATTTCAACTAAATTAGCTCTTTTGGACGTAAAACTAAATTCACTAGACATCTATAGTAATCAAAAACCACATAGTTTTATCTAATCAAACCAGTCGGTAATTGAATTTTTAAAATATTTGATTAAATAGGATCGAAATGAGTTGATTTGGGCCGATTTTTAGTTAATAACCGTACATTGCCCAATCCTCACCGTTACTCTTACTTACCCGCACCACCTCACTATCAAACCACGTGCCCTCTACTCTTCAGACATCTTCCTGCCAGTCTTAAATTCTTCCAGCTAATCCTCTCTTTCTTGTCGTGTATATATTCAATTTTTATTTATATTTATTATAATTTGTATGGTAAATAGATTATAATAATAATATAATATGAACCCCGTTTGGTTTGCCAACTTACCCTGAGGCCCTGCCTGACTCTCTATAAAACGAATCGTTTCGCATCTTCGCAAACAAAACAAATCCAAAAAAACCAACGAATAACGCAGCAGAAACCATGTCTCCAGCAGCAACATCCGTTACTCAAATTGAAGTCGACACCGTAACATTCTCGCCGGCAGTGAAACCTCCGGCCTCAAATAAAACTCTATTCCTCGGCGGCGCAGGTTAATTATTATTTTAATCTACGCACTCTCGTCGCATGCTCACTAACTCCGGTCATCTTTTACTGATTAAATATTTATTTGTTTTTCGGTTTAGGGGCTAGAGGATTGGAGATCGAAGGCAAGTTCATCAAGTTCACGGCGATAGGAGTGTACTTAGAGGATGAGGCGGTGCCATTGCTTGCCGTTAAGTGGAAGGGGAAGAGTGCACAGGAATTGAATGATTCCGTCCAGTTTTTTAGGGAGATCGTTACAGGTAAAAAAACAGATACTATTTCTTCCTTTCTCTCTCTGTTAATCGGATCTTAAGCCGACTCGTCGTTTAGCTTGTGTTGCCGCCATACCGGTTCTTATGGCTTTATGAGACTGTCAAGTTAGTTTTGTGTTCCCGGTAATCCTGGGGCGGTCAAGTCAACCTCCGTGCTACTTAATTATTTAAATTTTTTCCGTAAAATTCATATTGGTCCCCACCCTAACTGTTTGGTTCAAATAGATTCTAACTAGTATGGGGACCAGATAGACATTTCCCTAATTTAGTATAGAGAACCGACAAGAAATTTTCACAGTACAAATTGACTTTTTTTTTTTTTTTTTAATTTAAAAAAAATCGAATCAAACCAAATCAAATTGATGCACAGTAACCGACGATTATCCACTGAAATCAGTAAAGATTGATGCAAAATAAAAATTTTAAATTGACCATTAGGTTTTTGGATATTATAGAATAATAACTAAACTGACAGAAAAGAAATCAATTACTATTTCTTTTGAAATTAAAATCAAACTAGCCACTTTTGATTGGTCTCTTTAGCTTTTATGGAAAATGTAAAAAATAAGAGGCGTCGAGTTTAAATTTTTTTTCATAAAACTTATCACTAATTTAAGGAATGTCGTTCAAATGAAAAGACAATCCTTTGTAGTTTAAAACATTATTCCGTTCCATTGAGTGTTTCGTGTATAAAAGAAAAATAAAAATCAAACTGAAATTTTTAAAAATCAAAATAAATTAATCAGATGGATTTTCTACTTTTCAGTTTTATTGTAATATTATTTATGTTGAATTATGTAATAACTATCTGGTGTTTGTGAAGGACCATTTGAGAAGTTCATAAGAGTAACAATGATTTTACCATTAACGGGCCAACAATACTCAGAGAAGGTTTCAGAGAATTGTGTAGCGTTTTGGAAATCAGTAGGGATTTACACTGATGCAGAAGCAAAGGCCATTGATAGATTCTTAGAGGTCTTCAAACCAGAAGTCTTTCCTCCTGGCTCCTCTATTCTTTTCACACAACTGCCTAATGGTTCAGTAGCGGTAAGTAAGATAATCTTCTTGTTTTTAAGAGGCTAATACTGTGCAAGAACTAATTCATCATTAGATTAGTATTCTAGTAGTCGATTATTAAATTTCATTTTTTTCTAATGATAAAAAATGCTTAGGATCTATTCAATAATGTCAGCTGTTTACAGAGAGGGTTTAAATTAGAAGTGATTGGTAAAAAGCTGCTTAATTACCATTTTATTTTAGAACATTAACAGTTTAATTAATTGAATTTGGAATAAAAAAACAATGGGTACAGTAATAAAAAAAAAAAAGAAATCTCTGTCAAACGCTACACACTATAATATTTAACATTTTATAAAAAATTTCATCAAACTCTAAAAGCTAGGAAACGCTAAAAGCTAGCTTAAAAATCGTTGCCGAACATGGCTTTTTGTAGTTTTTAAATAGTTATAAATTTTTATTTCTTGATATTTTCTGTAATTTTTTTTATTTACTAGAAGTTCATTGAGTTAAAATAATATTATAATCTATACAATATAAGTAGATCTGCTTATGACTCACCAAATTAATAAAAATTATTGTAGTTAAAAGATACGGGTGAGAAACCAATAAGATCACAGTAATACTTCTTAACATTTTTGACATTTTTTGTAATTTTCAAATCAAATATTTTAAAAAAAGAAGACCTTTTGTTTTGTAGTTGCATGTTTCTTATTTATTATCATAACAACCTGCTCACAAATCTTACGTGAAATAAACAATTTTCAATTCCCGAAAAGCCCTTTTTATTGAGCTTGGCCATATCCCTTTTATAGCTTTTTTTTGGTCCCTTTTAGTTACTGATTTTCCATTTTATTTTCTATTTTCTCTAATTACAGATTAGCTTTGCAAAAGATGGATCAACACCAGAAGTTGAGGATGCTTTGATAGAGAATAAACTACTTTCAGAGGCAATATTGGAGTCAATTATTGGCAAGGATGGTGTTTCTCCTGAAGCAAGAAAATGTGTGGCTGAAAGGTTAGCAGAGTTGTTTGAGAAAAATGTTCAAAGTGGAGAGTTAGTTGGGAAAAGTCTTCAAATTCCAGAGAGGATTGAAAAAAGTGAAAAGAATGGGGAGTTGATTGAAAAAAGTTCTCAAAAAAGCTGAGGTTACCAAAGTTATCTTTAAGCAGTAAGTAGTACTGATGGAGGTAGAAATAAAGTATCAAAAATAGGATGTTACGTGTACTTACCTCCTTTTTGCCTAATAATATATTTATATATTTATATTACGGAGGATCCTTTTCCTTGTATCGTGTCTTTGTCTCTTGGATGATGCATGATTCTGCCGGTGTGTTTGTCCTTATCTATGAAAACTCCATTTTAGCCTTTTTTTTTTTTTTTTTAATTGTAATTTTTATTTCGTTAAAACTATTTTTTCTGTTCTAAAAAGATAATGTATCTTTTTTTTTTTTTTTTTTTAGCCTTTTTTTTTTTTTTCTTTCTAATTGTACATTTTTTATGGCGTTAAAACTATTTTTTTCTGTTCTAAAAAGATAATGTTATCTTTTTTTTTTTTTTATTCTCAAGCATTTTTTTTTTTTTTTTTATCTCAAGATATAGTTTTTTTTATATTATAGTTAATTTTTAAATTGTCCATTATACTTTTGTTAAATTTTATTTTATTTTCAATAATTTTCTTTAATTTTTATTTATTATTTAAATATAATAATTACTTATGTTTTATTTAAGACGAATATAATAGAAAATTTATATGAATAAAATTGAGCTTTAACCATAATAATTGTTATTATATTAACATATGTGAAAATAGAAAGTGAATTATTTTTTTGAACGGAATGAGTAATTAATTTCAATGTTATTCAGATTTAATTTCAAATTTATTTATCTGGACTACTTTTAAAAAGAATTAAAAAGATAAGCAGCATTATTTGTCTAGGAAAATAGGGTAAATATATAAGAAATTACTATAAAATTAATTTATCAGATTTAGTGTTTTATTTGTTAGAAATAATATTATTGCTCTATAATTAAAAAATATGATAAAAATGGATATTTTACAAGTAAATAAGCCTATAAATAAAGTTTAACTTACCTATTTGAGAAAGGAATAAAGGGCAATTTGCCCTTATACTTGTTGTTTAACGGAATTAAAAAAGTCAAATTTGATATTTTTTATCATTTTAATCCCCAATTTGTTTAAAATAATTAAAAAAATCAACTTTAACTTTTTAAATTAATTTACCATCAAATTTGTTTAAAATTATTAAAAAGATCATTTTAAACCTTCTAAGTCAATTTAACTTATGATTCTTTATTATACTTAAAAAAGTGAGAATCTTTGTACAAATATTTATTAAAAGTGTAGTTGGAATTAGAAATATTTTTATCACCTTTTTCCAAAATAAACAACAACAAATAAGCCCAAAATAAAAATGATGTTTTCGGATCCTCCGGGGTGGGATTTCGACGAAAACAGTCAGTGTCCTGTATATGGCTTAGAATTGGAAACTCTAGTGCGTGTGCTCATAGATTGCCCTTTTGCTCGAAGTTTCTGGCAGCGAGTCTTGAATAGTGTATTACTTATTTTCGACCTGCAGAACCCATGTGATATGCTTGATTGGTTATATAATGTTTTTGTAGCTCACACTATTCCCGACGTCAATTCTGCATGCATGACTTTATGGGTGATCTAATAACGTAGGAACGTTACCCTCTAACGGAACACCGATGCCCTTATTAACCAATTCTTGGATTCAGCCATGAACTGGATGACTGATTGGCAGGCCTCTAAACTTAAACAGTAGATACCTTCCTCCTCTAGTACCTATGAGCCTGATTCTTGGTCAAAACCTCCTACGGGCTATATCAAGTGTAATACAGATGCTTCATTTCATGCCTCCTCCTTGGTAGTTGGTGCTGGATGGGTGTTACATAATAAGGAAGGGCAAGTTATTAATGCTTGCCAAGTCGCTCTTATTGGTAGGATCCATTGTTGGTGACAAAAGCCATTTCCTTTCAAGAGGCCTTGAGTTGGGTAATAAAACACAGTCACAAATAATGGCTGTTTAACTTGTGTGTTTCCATTCATCTCAATAAGCTTATATAAATATGTTATAGTTACAACAGATAAGCACAAGAGCTTTACAAGAGATAAAGCTAATCTAGTTGTGTACATATCTGAAAATAACTAACTTTTAGTCTTATCATTCGGTTCAATACTCCCCCGCAAGATGGAGGTACCATTGCGTACTCCTATCTTGTATCGATTTGGGATAAATGCTGATTTTGGCAATGGCTTTGTCAGTAAATCAGCCAACTGATCTTTAGTTGAAACATGGGATATCCGAAGTTTACCCTTTTGAACTAGATCCCGCACAAAATAGAGGTCAATCTCTATGTGTTTCATTCTCGAATGATAGATAGGATTTTGGCAAGCATAAGTGGTAGATATATTATCACAATACAGCACAGGTGTTGACACCAACTTCCCAAGTTCATGTAATAAAGAGCTTACCCAAACAACTTCAGATGCAGCTACTGCCACTGCTCGATACTCAGCCTCTGTTGAAGAGCGAGCCACGAATTTATGCTTTCTGGAAGTCCAAGAAATAGGAACAGTTCCAAGATAGAGAACATAACCTGTTGTAGAATGTCTATCATTAGGATCACCAGCCCAATCCGCATCAGAAAATGCATGAAAAGCAATAGAAGATTGAGGTGTGATCATAATGCCATAATCAATTGTACACTTAAGATACCTTAACAGCCTTTTAAGTGCTGATAGGTGTTAATTTTATAGTGTTTTTAATATAGTTTTTATTAGAATTTTAGTAAGTTTTATTACTTTAATTTGATTTTAATTTGATTTTAGTATAATTTTGGGACTTTGCATAAATTGGGACAACCGATTGACAGAAAAGCAAATGTCCAGTCTAGTCCAGGTTAAATACTGTAGTGCTCCAACTATCTTTCTAAATTCGGTGGGATTAACTACCAGAGAGTTGGAATCATTCTTTGTCAAACATGTTGATGGCGTAAACGATGTAGAAATAGATTTTGCTCCATCCACGCCCGAAACAGTTAACATTTTTTGGACATAATGATGTTGTGACAAGAATAGACCACCACTTGTATGCTGAATATCTATGCCCAAAAATAAACTTAACTGCTGTGGATCTTTGAGCGAAAACTTAGAGGACAACCGATCTATGAACAACTTTATGAACTTATTATAATTGCCAGTAAGTAACAAGTCATCCACATACACAAGAAAGAAGCAAGTAAGATTGTCGTTTTTGTAGATGAAGAGGGAATGATCACTCTTTGACTGTTCAAAACCAAACTGTAACGCACACCCTCGTAGAGCTTCAATGAAGAGGGAATGATCACTCTTTGACTGTTCAAAACCAAACTGTAACGCACACCCTCGTAGAGCTTCATACCACGCTCTTGGAGCTTGGCGAAGACCATATAGTGCTTTGACCAGTTTACACACATATGTAGGTTTTTCAGAATCCACAAATCCAGGAGGTTGTTGCATAAATACCTGCTCTTGCAATGGGCCATGAAGAAATGCATTATTAACGTCCAATTGACAAATGTTCCAATTATTCGAAACAGCCAAGGTGAGAACTATTTGAATTGTTGCTGGCTTCAATACTGGACTGAAAGTATCTCCAAAATCTACTCCTGGTCTCTGATTGTATCCTTTAGCTACCAGACGCGCTTTATACTTTGCAATGGAGCCATCTGCATTTCGTTTCACCCGAAATATCCACTTGTAACCCACCAAATTTTGATCACTGCAAGAAGGAACAAGCTCCTAAGTGCCATTAGTCATTAAAGCATCAAATTCATTAGACAGGGCCTTCCTCCATTCTGGAATTTTCAAAGCCTGGGATACACATGTTGGTTCAATGGAAGGAGGAATAGGATGTTTGGTAACAGAATTGATAACTTTTGGATTAAAAATATTATTCTGAGACCTTTGTAACCATGGGATGAGTGCGAGCAATTTGATTAGTTTCAGTAGGAACAGAATTAAGAGAAGACAAAGTACCTGGAGTGGGCAATTGAGGAGCTGAACTCAAAGAGGCAATGGAGGAGCTGAACTCGAAGATGACGCTGACTGAGAAGACGCAACCGAAGCAGACAATGGAGACAATTCAGATGAAACAGAAGCAACCAAAACAGGACTCATTGTTGAACTTGTAGAAGCAACAGTAGACTCAGATGGAGAAATTAAATCGACGGAAGGAGTTAGGGATTCGACAATTTGGGGAATCGATGGAACCCGAGAATGAAAGGGAGAAATAATAAAGCCATCAGATGGAAACGACACTGTTTCAGGTTGCCCACCAGGTGTACCTAAGTCGTTAACTGAACAGGGCAACGGTTGATCACTGACACCAATTTTATCATTAAAATCATACCACTAGCTTTTTACTAGGAAATTGATTTTCCACAAAAATCACATGCTTAGATACATACACCTTCTGACTTTGAGGTTCATAACACAAATAAGCACTTTGGCTCAAAGAATAGCCGATAAACACACATGGTGTGGACTTTGCATCAAACTTAGTATGACTATATGGCCGAAGAAAAGGATAACACATGCATCCAAAAATTTTAAGCTTAGCATAATTGGGTTGCTGGTTAAATAATTTTTGAAATGGTGAGGACATATTAATAATTGGTGTTGGTAGTCTATTAATAAGATAAGTAGCTGCTTGAAAGGCATAGGTCCAAAACTTAAATGGTAAGGCTGCAGATTGGAGTAAAGTAAGACCAGTTTCTACCAAGTGGCGATGACGCCTCTCTGCAGCTCCATTATGCTGGTAAGGCTGCAGATCTGGAGTAACGTAAGACGCAGTTTCCTCAAGCTGCGCGATGACCGTCTCTCTGCAGCTCCATTATGCTGCGGTGTGCTAATGGTAAGGCTGCAGATTGGAGTAAAGTAAGACCAGTTTCTACCAAGTGGCGATGACGCCTCTCTGCAGCTCCATTATGCTGCGGTGTGTGAGGTGGTGTCTTAAGATGACTAATTCCACTCTTCTGAAATAGGATTTTCAAAGTAATAAACTCACCACCTCCATCTGTATATACAGAAACGATTTTTGTGTTAAGCATATTCTCAACTAAGCTTTGGAATACTGAAAATACATTTGCAACATCAGATTTTGCTTTCAAAGGGTAAAACCATATGTATTTAGTGTAGAGATCAACTAAAATTAAATAATAATTGAATCCATCAATTAACTTAACGGGAGCTGGCCCCCAAACATCTGAATAGAATAATTCAAGAGGACGAGTACTACGAAGTGAGGAGACACCAAATGCGAGTCTATGACTCTTATTACAAAAGCATGAATTGCAATCAAAACTAGTAGATGACTCTGATAAATTAAATTTGGACAAAACATAATGACAAACTCGAGCAGCAGGATGACCGAGGCATTGATGCTAGACAAACGATGACCCACAAACAATTGAATGAGCAACTGGAGACCGATTTTTGGGGATTGACGAAAGACGATAAAGAGAATTTTTAATTTGCCCCTTTGTGAGTATCTCTCTCGTGAACAAGTCCTTAACAAGAAAATAATCAAAGAAGAATTCAACCGAAACATTATTAGCTAGACAGAAAGCAGAAATGGAAATCAAATTTTCTTTTGCACCAGGAACACACAAAACATTGTCAAGAGAGCAACTTTTGAATGGAAAAGAAATTAACTGTGAACCAACATGTATAATATGTAAACCAGTACCATCAGTAAGATGGAGCTCATCCAAACCTTCATATGGAGCATGTAATGCCAGGTTCTGCAGATCATTAGTTACATGGTGAGAGGCACCAGTATCAAGAATCCAATTCTGAGGCTCTTGAGCGGCAGCATGATGAGCTCGTGGCATGGGAAAATTATCTTTGAAGTAATCTTTAGCACCAAAGCACTGTTTAGCTATATGACCAGGTCGTTCACAGATTTGGCAAACAACTTGTGAACCACCAGAACCCCTTCTATACCTTGTTGAATTTTCAGAATAATTTCGATTTCCATCGGAATTAGAATTTTCAGTCGAAACTCTGTGATTCTGTCCTTGAGAATTTTGTCGAAAGTTGGTTCTTTTAGCACAAAATTGGCTGTGATGGGTGAGGAATCAAACGAGGGAGTTCTTTTCCGCACAAAATTGGCTGTGATGGGTGAGGAATCAAACGAGGGATCAACCTTTTTGAGATATAACTCATGAGCTTGGAGTTTGTCCTGAAGTTCTTCAAAGGAGATAACCGTATCTCGAGCTCTAACTGCCGCTGCAATATCACGATACTCAGATCCTACACCATTTAGGACATGAATTACCAAATCAATATCTGAAACTGGATTCCCAAAGAGTGCTAAATCTTCTGAAATAGCTTTCACCGATTGCAAATAATCAGAAATAGGACGAGACTCTCTCTTGAGATTGGTCAGCTTGTCTCTAAGAGAGAGAATCCATGTAGCCGACTTATTGGCACAAGATGTTTGAATCTTTTCCCAGGCATCAGCTGCGGACTCAGCAGAAACAATATGCATAGTGAAAAAGCTTGTTGCTGCAATAATGGCAGCCAAAACTAGTTGGTCTTGACAGATCCAAAACTCATAGTCTTTATTAATTTCATCTTTATCATTTGTACGAACGATTGGAGATGGACACTTAAGAGATCGATCAACGTATCCCATTAAGTTATGCCCTTTAAAAACAGGGAGAACCTGTGCATGCCAAGCAGGATAATTCTGCTGCGTCAATTTTAATGGAAATTGAGACTCATTGAAAGAAATAAGAGTTCTTCCAGAGGAGTGAGTGAGATTTGGAACAGTGGATGAAGAAGCCATTAAAATGAGACAAATAACTCAGGTTCAAAACGAAAAATATGAAAAGTCTAAGAAAAATGAAAACCAGTGGGTTTTCGGCTCTGATACCATAAAACACAGTCACAAATAATGGCTGTTTAACTTGTGTATTTCCATTCATCTCAATAAGCTTATCTGTTTAACTTGTGTATTTCCCATTCATCTCAATAATCATATATACATATGTTACAGTTACAACAGATAAGCACAAGAGGTTTACAAGAGATAAAGCTAATCTAGCTGTGTACATATTTAAAAATAACTAACTTTTAGTCTTATCATTCTGTTCAATAAGCTGACCCCACTAAAAAAAAATTGTTCATGTATTAGGGTATAATAATAGGTTTTGACCCCACGCTACAGATTGATCAACAGTAATTATTTTAAGACCCATAATACAAAGAAGAAAAAAAGAAGAGTATAAAAGAAGTTGATCTAAGAGTACAGGACAAGTTATCCTAATTACTTCCCAGATTCTTATTTTTCATCCCTCTTTCTCTTTGTTTGGTTGCACTTTAGAGTAACAAAAACTTCTCTAGGTTAGGCATGGCCGGTTCACTGAACGGCGGTTCACTGAACCGCCGGTTCCTGATGTTTAAAATTTTGAACCGGAACCGACCCTTGAACCTCCGGTTCCGGTCCGGTTCCAGTTCCGGCATGGTTCCGGCGAACCGACGGTTCGAATTACGGTTCCAATTCGATTCCGGCATTACGCAAATTTTTTTAAAAATAATAAAATTTTGATTCCGAATTCATAAATAAATAATAATTTTAAAATGTTTAAATTTTATTAACAATTATTTTGGCCCCTGTTCATAAAATTTTAAACAACTTATATTAATACTTAGAAACTATTAATTAATTAATTTGCTAATTTACTAATATAAAAAACTATAAATGGAATATAAAATTAATGGAATGAGTTGGAAATTATTATTTTCAAATACTAAGAAAAGTATTTAAAAAATCAAATGAAGTAAATTTATGAATGGAAAAATTTGAGATTAGAGAAAGAATTGGAATTGGATGTAAGAAAATAAAAAATAAACAATAGATAATTCCAATATTAAGGAAAATAAAGCAATAGAAGAAATAATGAACTATAGAAATTTGAGAGAATTTTGATTGAGAATAAGAGAAGAGTTAGGATATAATTGATTGTGAAATAAAAAATCATCAACTCAATCATATTTTACATATTTTCTCATTTATTAGCGTTTTCCACATTGTCCCTTATAAGTATTAAAGATAAAATAGACAACTATATTTTTTTGGATAATTTAGTAAATTACAGTCAATAATAAATGATTAAAATGAATAAAATTATTTACAAAAAAAAAATTTTTTAAAAAAACTTATATATGCAAAACTATTCGTTACATCTTTTTTTTATATACTTGAAAGTATTTTTTTTTTTATAAATCAACTATTCATGTACCATTTTTTGTTATAAATTAAGTAAAAAAATGTGTATTTTTTTTTCACCCCTTTTTATAACTTATGTACTCTTTACCATAAATCAAATCAACTACAATAAATCAAGTGATATAAATTTTTTTATAAAAATTTTAAGCTACAATTTTTTTGTGCATCCGGTTCGAACCGGATAGGAACCGCCGGTTAACCGCCGGTTTTGGGCCAGTTTCGGTTCATATTTTAAGATTCATATGAACCTTAACCAGCTCTTGAACCGCCGATTCCGGTTCAAAATTATGAACCGTCGGTTCCGGTCCGGTTCTGGTTCGTCTACAGTACAGTTCGGTTCCGGTTAGAACCGAACCGGTGGCCATGCCTACTCTAGGTAAGTTCAAATATTTTCTCTCTACTCTCTATGAATTTTTTTTTTTTTTTTTGGGAATTTAATCGATGTTTGGCTTGATTTTACTTAATACTTTTGTCCTTCATTCAATTAAGGTTTAACATCTACTTCATTGTATATGTGTTTTTGTTCACTTTTGGCTTTATAATTATATATATGGCTTCAAATTTGAATATTTGATGGTTGTGAAATCTAATTTAATCTCTTGTTAAATCTTTATGTTTTTCCACTTATTAGTAAATTATTTGAATAAATATTATTGTTATTGTCTTTATATTTTTTTATTAAAAATTAATGAAGAGAATGAAAGTTATAAAGAAAAAAATAAGATCAAAATTATTGTGATTTTGTTTGTATATAGAATTCCAAATATGAGATTTATTCAAATAAATAGGCTATATAAATTAGGGATTTTTCCTTGAAAAGTGGCTTTATGTGCTTTTTGATATTGTATTTTTTGTGTGTGAATTAATCAACTTTGGTGTGTATTTAATTGTTTTGCTCATCAACTTCAATTGACTCTTGTAGTGGTTGCAAAGAATGACAGTTTTATTGCTTCATTTTCTACCATTGATTCTAATTTGTTGAATGTTATTGGAGCTTCATGTAAGCGGCGAGATATCCTCCGAGATAGTCAAGCTAGAAAAGTTATTGAAGCATTAGATAACGGTGAAATCACAAGTGGTCGTGGCTTAAATCAAGAAAAATGTCTTAAGCGTCCAAGTGATACACGTTGGGGGTTCTCATTATGGTACGTTGATGAATTTGATTATCTTATTTCTATCTATTATTGATGTTCTTGAAGGTATTGTTGAAGATGGTTTAAGTTCTGAGCAGAGAGGTGAAACTAGTATTTTATTAAGATTACTACAATCATATGATTTGTATTTAACTTGCACTTAATGAAAAATATATTTGGGAATCACAAATGAGCTATCTAAGGCATTACAAAGAAAGGATCAAGATATTATAAATACAATGACACTAGTTAAAATCTCAAAGCAGAGACTACAACAAATGAGAGATGATGGTTGAGATTCTTTGACTGTTGAAGTTTCTTCTTTTTATGAAAAACAAATGATTATCGTTCTAAAAATCGAAGACATTTTTGTAGTTCTAGAAAGATCATTACGTAAGGCTCCAAAAGTTAAACACATGCATCATTATCAAGTTGAAATATTTTATTCAGTATTAGACTTAGAGCTTCAAGAACTCAATAGTCATTTTACAAAAAGTAATAAAGAGTTACTTTTATGCGCTGTGTGCTTGAATTTTGCTGATGCATTTTCAGCTTTTAATAAAGAGAAATTAATCCAGCTTGCTCATTTTTATCCATTGGAATTCTCTGCTGTGGAACTTATGGCACTTGATAATCAACTTGAAACTTATATCATAGATGTGCGAACTAGTGATGATTTTATAGATATTAAAAGAATTGGTAATCTTGCTAAGAAGTTGGTTGAGACAAAAAAAAAAATTGTTTATCCTCTAGTCTACTTGATTATCAAATTAGCATTGACTTTGCCAGTTGCAACTGCAAGTGTAGAAATGGCATTTTTCTCAATGAAGATTGTGAAGAATCGATTATGTAATAGATGGACCATCAATTGATGAATAATTGTCTAGTTGCTTGCATTGAAAAAGATGTATTTGATAATATAGATAATGCAATGATTACTCAACGCATTCAAAATATGAATACTCAGACGTGGAGAATTGTAATTTTTTCAAGATTATATATTATATTAATATTGATTTAAATGAAATTGACCCCACTAGCCAAACTTTCTGGCTCCGCCACTGATTGAAGTAATAATTATTGATCTTCTACAAAGAGTAAATATGGAAAAAAATTTATTACTCCTTGAAACTACAAATATGACAAGTATTTTGGAGCAAATTATTTTCTTAAATGTAACAAGTATTATGAAACAGAGGTAGTAATAATAGTTTTCTAGAAAAACTTAAAAATCAACAAAAAGATGCATACTAATTTTTTTTTTTGAAAAAACATAATAAACTCATTTATGGGTTCAATAAATACAATAGATTTTTACAATAGTTATCGTTTTAGTTAATTAATAAATTTTTATTTTTTTAAGTATTAATAATATAACTAATATTAATTACTCCATATTAATATTTTTGAAAAGTTAAATATTTTTATTTTTTCAATTTATTTTTTATTTATTTAGTAAAAAAATAGTAATTACTTTGAAAAATGATACCACCTCTGTTCAAAACCATTAAATTGAAGTAATAATTACTGGTCATGTATAAATGGTAAACATGAAAAAAAATATTTATTACTCCTTGAAACCACAAATGTGACAAGTGTTTTGAAACAAATTGTTTTTTTAAATGTGACAAGTATTATAGAAATGGAGTTAGTTATATTAGTTTTAATGTTAAATTAATATGTCGTACTAATTACCTAGTCATACATTGTATCTTATTAAATATTAATAAAATCTTAATATTTTAATAATTTTTATTTTTTCAATATTAAAATATAATATTTTCAAAGGAAGAAAATGCCAAAATTCAAATTAAAGATGATTATTTGTTAAAAATTAAATTAAATTTAAATTTGAGATTAAATAATAACAAAATTATTTATTTTATGTATAAATATTTAACTTCAATGTAGAATTTTTTTATAATGTAATAAGAATATTATATTCAATAGTAGAATTTTTTTATAATGTAATAAAATATTATATTGGTGATATATATATATATATATATATATGTATATATGATTCCAATGATTTGGAAAAGATAATTAATTTATAATTTAATTATATTATTATTAGTTGAATATTATATTTGATATATATATGATAATGATTTGAAAATAATTTTATAATTTAATTATATTATTATTAGTTTGTTATAAGATTGTGCATCAATATAGTTCTTAATTTTTTTAATAATAATCATTTAAATAAAAATAACAGATATCTATTTATTTTCTATTTTTAAAGTTTTATGAATTGTGATATATAGAACTATAAGCCAACATACTATTTTAGTATTTGATAAATTCTATTTGCATATAGTTAAATAATTATAAACTCAAAATAAAATATCCTATACAAAGTAAAAAATCCAGTTAAACTGAGTCAACCCGAGTTGACTAGGTTCAACCATGACCCAATAACGACGCCGGTTTGGTATCCGGTCCGGTTTTAAAAACATTGAGTTGTACCACATATTTTAAAACTTTATTATTTTAAAAAAATTATGTTGTTTTTAGAAGTATTTAAAAAGTTTGATTTGATATTTTTAGTGCAAAACAAGATGTAATAAAAGCCGATCCTATTAAATTAAATCAATTCATTAATTTATAAAAATCAAAACAAATTTAAAGGTTAAGAACTCGTTTAGTTCAGTAGTTCATACTAGCTGATAGCGATTGCTAATAGCTGGTCGTTGATGTCTGATAACAATTAGCTGAATACTGTTTGACTTTGGTAAAATTTGGGTACGATTGCTGTTAAATTATAAAATAACCATCGAGTATATTAATTTTAAAAAAAAAAATTGTATTAGCCATTATTTTTATGATGTTAAAAAAGTCCAATAGCTCCCAGGACAAAAAAAGGCAGCTGATCAATCAATTATGGGTTGTTAATTAAAAAGTTTATGAAACACCTACAATATATAGGTGTTAAATATGAAAAGAATAAGATTCAATTTACCCTTTGAACTTGGGTATGACATATAATTCGTCTAAAAAATTAATTTTTTTGTATAATTTACTCCTTGAACTTGCATCAAAAATATAAAATTTAATTTGTCTCAAAAAATAAATTATTTGACATAAATCTTAAAATGTAATTAAATATTTGAACTAAATTAAATATAATTAAAAAATAATCAAACAAAAATATCATAAATATTTCTTTAACCAAATATTTCAATATAATCAAATCTTTTTCTAATTCTATAATTTGTTTAAATCAAATATTTGTTAAATTATTTTTAAATCAAACACTGTAAATTGTTATAATTATTTTTTTATGTTCTAATTTTAAATTTTTTAAAGTAATTTTTATTAGTTAAAACTATAACAAGAATTTTTTTTAAAAAACTGAGCATTTTGTTTTATTGGTGCAAGTTGTACAAAAAGGTAATTTTTGGACAAATTGAATGCCGGGTTCAAGTTTAAGAGAAAAATTGAGTCGTATTCCAATATAAAATTGAGTCGTATTCCAATATAAAACAACTATCAATTGTATGAATCAGTTAAACTAAATCCTCTCTAAATTGATCTAAAAGGTCAAAATTTAATTTTTTTTCTTTTTTTATCCCGATGAATAAATTTTCAAGCCAAATTGACCTATGTTACATAGGTAGAAGCTATTTTTACATAGGTATACGTTCATGCGATGATTTATAAATACCAGTTTAAGTGCCTCTCAAAACAACATAGTAATAGTTATGCTCATCAGGTTTTTTTTCTTTGTATCTTATCTACCGCGAGCTATTGATGCAAAAGAAAACAAGTTACGACAATATTAAAGCAAGTTTTCTAATGCTTGATCTAATGAAAATTTTGGATTTTAAATGTAGCTGCATTTTTTATTCTTGGATGGATTATATTTGGCGTAATACATAAATTTGACCCTGAAATTTAGCTGATTCTCCTCATGGCTCTATGAACTCTGTAGGATTGAACTATAACTATATACTTTCATATTTAAGTAATAACTATACTTTATCAAAATTATAACTGAACTCCTCACTAAAATGAAATAACTTTGCCAAATTAAGCATAATAATTAATACTAAAATGTGAAATCTCCACAAGATTCTAAGGACCATAAGAATAATCGTCAAAATTTATATACCAGACCGATTATATTTATAGATAAAATATGAACAAATGAATTGTGGTACAAGAAATTAATTCAAGACCAATAGCCATTGGATTTAAGAAAGTTGTTGCTTTGAAAATAATTATTTTGATTAAATGCTGTTTCATAATCAAGAAAAAAAATTTTAATTTCAAATTTAAGGTCCACAACATCACCCCACTCCACAGTAACGTTTATTAGTGTCATTAAGTAATAAAATCCTAATAAATATAATGAAAATGTCAAAAATAGTAATAGACCCCTCTTGATTCATATCAACTTAAACCGCAAAACATTTTATTTAAAAAAATGCTCTCAAATTAAAGAAGATTTAGTAATTGTTGACTTAGTCTGTTCAATCAAAACATCTTCATTAAACTCTTCTTTTTTTTTTTTTCTTTTATCCACAGTTATAATTCAGGAGAAGAAAACAAGAAAAGAAAAAAAAAAAAAAAAAAAAAAAAAAAGAATTAAGGAAAAAGATCAATTGGGTACAATACAAAACTAATTTCAAACTATGTATCAGCGAGTGTTTTAAGATTGTAAGGAATGGTGAAATTATGAGATCCACTTCCATATTAGCTTTGCAATTTGCTTGTAGGCCTTCTTCATGGTGCACGAATCAAAGAACCAAATATCACTAACATCATCACCCACTCATTACCTTCTATTAACCCACAGCTTGACAGAATTCCTCTGTACAACCAAGCTCCACAGGCATGCCTCTTTAGCCTCTTAAACCTTCACAAGTTTCTTCACAATTTCAAAAAAATTGGACCAAATTATAAGTTAAAAAAAATATGCAGCCAGTAGATTATCCCATACCATTATTTTGTTGGGTAATTATCCTTTCTGCTCAACGTAGTATAAAAAATCAAAAGAACAAATACTTTAACTCCTTGAGCTGACTCTGTAGTTCTTCAAGAAACCTTGGGAAGTATTTATTATGGCAGTTTTGCTAAAGCTGCGGTTTCTTATCGATCTGCTTTATTTTGTTCAAGTTGCTCTCATAAATTTTGGTGAACCCAATCAAAAGCTCCCATACCTACCAAATCCGAAATTTCCTTCCACCAATCTATAAATTTTCCTAAAACACCCAAATTGTAAGCAGTAAGATGATATATGATCAACTTAGGGAAGGAGAAAAAGGGAAAAGTTTACAATGCAAAGCACAGCTAGAGTTCATTACTTTGAATCCACAGGAAGTCAAGTTGCAATGGACTAATACCACTAGTCTTCTTTGGGGTAGGACTGGAAATGGGGGAGCAGGTGCTATATAATCCAATCATTGCCACCCAATGCTAATAAATTAAATTGCTTTAGATAATAGTTTCTTGGTTTTCTTGCATCACCTTATTTGCTGCTTTATTTTTCCTTTTACAATTCTTCAAATAAAGAGCCTGTGTTTTAGGTCTATTACCTATGTAGAAGGAAAGGTTGAAACATTGTCTAGTATTATTGAATGGACACACAATTAGAATACCAAAGTGAGATAACCAACTGCAAACTAAAGACACCAATCAAAAAATGCAAACTAAAGACACCAATCAAAAACATGAATCCATTGAAAGAAACTCGACCTCATATTGATAACTGAACAAAATTAGTAAGGAACTGAACTGATTGATTTGGGTTTAAACTGGCAATTTTCACACTCAGTAGTTTTTTTTTTCTCACCATTTTCTAAAGTTTATCTAAATTAACTAATCAATAAGAGGTTTAAATAGATACCCTTCCTTCATTTCCTTGATGGGTTTCCACTAAAGCACCAGCTCCGCCTGAAGCAAAGTTGGTTCCATCTGTAAATTGATGATTACCAGGCTGGAGATATGGCGGGATTAGAGGCAACTTTAAATACTCAGCTACAAAAATAAAAATTGCAAAAATCAATTAATCTTTTTGTTCAAAATTCAATACCCATTTGAGGGAAAAGAAGACAAATTACCAATAAAATCTGAAATTAATCGACCATCGGAAAACCTCCCAGTAGGATGCTTGAAGAAGGTTTGTCCGTACGGCCAGAAATTGGCGAGGCCAATAGCACCTTTGAGGTAGTTGTTATTGCCAACATCAAATAATGAATCCCCAAAGATAAATAAGGGAATGTGGTTCTTAAGAGACCGAGGATGACTACAAGTGGTTGATGGGCTACAAGGGTTCCACATAAGAATACAAATAATAAGTAATAAAGACGAACTCTTGAACCCGCCATCTCCTTTTGCTCTGCTTAATTTTTCTCTTCTTCTCTATCCTTCACCATCCTTATCCTTGCTTGCCATTGTTATTTATAATTATATTATATGATTCTGTATTATTGCCATTTGACAGAGATTTAAAAATAAAATTTATTAATCAATAATATATTTTGGATATATATTCTAGTTAAGTCATTTTTTAATAAACTATAATGACAAGATAAGATTTGGGGGAAAATTCCATAATCTATGCCTATAATATAACATTTACAAAAGCGGAAATAGGTGGACAACATATGTATAACAAAAAACGTGACAACATACGTATAGAAAGTCTCTATTAAATTTATAGATTTATAAAAATATCTTAAACACTTTAATTTCATTGATTGAAAATAAAAATAATTTAATTTTAATTGGTCATATTAATTTTCTATTTAAATCTAAATTCTATTTAAAGTTAAATTCTATTAGATAAAATAAAAAATTATATTATATATTATATAAGGTATATATAAAATATGATAATACTATTCGTTCGATTCCATCTTTTTTATATTAGAACTAACGGTTTTTAAAAACAAAATATATAATTATATTAAATACGTGTATATATATATATTATTATATATAATACAAGATTTTATTATTTATGGATAATTACTAATAAGATGTATATAATTGGTAAAGGATATAATATTCTTAAAGATTTTAATTTTATTAAGCTCTTGAAAAATAAAGGTATACATTTAATTTTATAAAACACTATTCTATTTATATTTATAAATGTGAGGATATGGAGAGAAATAATGAATTACTTTAATAATCTTATAAAAGTTTAGGAAATTTCTAAATATCCTTATATTTGTTAATTGATAATAATTTGAGTTTATAACTAACTTTAACTAACTTGAATTTTTTTTTTTTTTTTGTTTGAGAAGAAATCAAATTAGAAATTTCATTAAGAGGAAACTGTATTCAGATATGAGATACAGATCAATATGTTTCCATATTTTTGTATAGGAAGTTTAATAATAAACTATCTATACAAAGAATAAAAAATACAATCTTGATTTAAAGTATCTAATTGAGTTGACAAAATATAATATTTGTGTCATCGGCGATCGCTTGCTCTACTTGGTAGTCATTCATCGCCACTGTTTGACTTCATGGTCTTTCTATCAGTCTAATCTGTTTATCTTCAAATTTCTTTCGGAGATCTACTCTTTTTTCTGCATAACTATCCAAATAATAAAAGACGCTAGACAAAATCACCATAACGGTAATAACAATAATTCAAAATTAGATTTAATAATTGATAAATTAGCATTTTTTAATACTTTTTATTAATTGATTAAGAAAAGTATATAATTGTATTATTGTAATTAATTTTCAATTGTTTAAAAAAAGATTATTATTTTAATTTTAAAATAAACTTTAAAATGCAAAAAAATATTTATAAAAATATTGTTTCACATGTTTCATATTATATATATATATATAATTATATATAAAATATATATATATATATATAATATATATATATATATATATATATATTAATTATATATATATTAATTTTAATTTTTTTATATCTATTTATCTATATCTAAGTTTTTCAATTTTTATATTTATAAAGGCAACATTTTACTTTTTTTTCTTTCCGTAAATATTGATTAAAAATTATTAAAAAGATCATTTTTAACATTTTAAGTCAATTTAACTTATGATTATTAAAAAGATCATTTTTAACATTTTAAGTCAATTTAACTTATGATTGTTTATTATACTTAAAAAAATGAGAATCTTTGTATAGATATTTATTAAAAGTGTAGTTGGGATCAGAAATTAATTATAGTATATTGCATTTTTACGAGTTATGAATATGTATTATTTTGAATATTTTAAAATTGACCTTTTGATATATTGTTTAAAATTGACCTTTTGAATATTTTGAATATTATTATGAATATGATTTTATAGTTGGGATCAGAAATATATTGTTTACCCTCTAGTCTACTTGATTATCAAATTAGCATTGACTTTGCCAGTTGCAACTGCAAATGTGGAAAGGGTATTTTTTTCTCAATGAAGATTATGAAGAATCAGTTACGTAATAGAATGGACGATCAATTGATAAATAATTTTCTAGTTACTTGCATTGTAAAAAGATGTATTTAATAGTATAGATAAAGAAATTGATTATTCAACGCTTTCAAAATATGAATACTCGTCATGGACAATTGTAATTTTTTCAAGATTATATGTATTATATTAATATTGAGTTGAATAAAATTGACCCCACTAGCCAAACTTTCTGGCTCCACCATTGATTGAAGTAATAATTATTGATCATATACAAAGAGTAAATATAGAAAAAAATTCATTACTCCATGAAACCACAAATGTGACAAGTATTTTGAACAAATATTTCTCAAATGATGACAAGTATTATGGAATATGGTTGTACTAATTTTATAGAAAACTTAAAATCAACAAAAAGATGCATTCTAATTTTTTTTTTTGAAAAAATAAAAAAATATAATAAACTCATTTATGGCTTCAATAAATACAATAGTTTTTTACAATAGTTATCATTTTAGTTAATTAATAAATTTTTATTTTTTTAAGTATTAATAATATAAATAATATTAATTACTCCATATTAATGAAAAGTAAAATATTTTTATTTTTTCAATTTATTTATTATTTATTATTTATTTATTTAGTGTAAAAATAGTAATTACTTTGAAAAATGATACTACCTCTGTTCCATAATATTTGTCACATTTGAAATTTAACGTTCCTTGAGACAAACATTAAATTTGTCTAAGTTGCAATAAATTATTGAGTAAATTGATTATATTACCCTTAATTTAATATTAATTCTCTAAGAAAACCATTAAATTAAAGCAATAATTATTGGTCATGTATAAAAAGTAAACATGAAAAATAATATTTATTACTCCTTGAAATCACAAATGTGACAAGTATTTGGGAATAAATTATTTTCTCAAATGTGATAAGTATTATAGAACAGAGGTAGTAATATCAGTTTTAATGTTAAATTAATATGTCATACTAATTACCTAGTTTCATACATTGTATCTTATTAAATATTAAAAAATCTTAATATTTTAATAATTTTCATTTTTTTCAATATTAAAATAAAATATTTTAAAAGGAAGAAAATGTTAAAATTAAATTAAAGATGATCATTTGTTTTAAAAATTAAATTAAATTTAAATTTGAGATTAAATTTAACTTCAATGGAGAATTTTTTTTATAATGTAATAGAATATTATATTTGATATATATATGATAATGATTTGAAAATAATTTTATAATTTAATTATATTATTGTTATTTTGTTATAAGATTTTGCATCAATATACTTCTTAATTCTATTAATAGTAATTAAATAAAAATAACAGATATCTATTTATTTTCTATTTTTAAAGTTTTATGAATTGTGGTATATAGAACTATAAGCCAACATACTATTTTAGTATTTGACAAATTCTATTTGAGTATTGCTAAATAATTATAAACTCAAAATAAAAAATCCTATACAAAAGTCAAAAATCCAGTTAAATCGAGTCGTCCCGAGTTGATTAGGTTCAATTATGACCTAGTAACAATGCCGGTTTGGCATCCAGTCCGGTTTTAAAAACATTGAGTTATACCACATATTTTAAAATTTTATTACTTTAAAAAAATTATGTTGTTATGAATTTTAAATTTCTATTTACAAGTATTTAAAAAGTTTGATGTTGGTGTTTTTAGTGCAAAACAAGATGTGATAAAAGCCAATTCTATTAAATTAAATCAATTCATTAATTTATAAAAATCAAAACAAGTTCAAGGGTTAAGAACTCGTTTAGTTCAGTAGTTCATACCAGCTAATAGCGATTGCTAATAGTTGGTGGTTGATGTCTGATAACAATTAACTAAAACTGTTTGGGTTTGGTAAAATTTGGATAACGATTGCTGTTAAAATATAAAATGACCATTGAGTATATTAATTTTTTAAAAAAATTATATTAGCTATTATTTATATGACGTTAAAAAAGTCCAATAGCTCCTAGGACAAAAAAGGCAGCTAATCAATCAACTATTGGCTACTGATTAAAAAGTTTATGAAACACATACAACATATACGTGTTAAATATGAAAGGAATAAGATTCAATTTGCCTCTGAACTTGGATACAATTTACAATTCATCCAAAAATTAACTTTTTGTATAATTTACCTTTGAACTTGCATCAAAAATACAAATTTTAATTTGTCTCAAAAAAAATAAATTATTTGACATGAATCTTAAAATGTAATTAAATATTTGATCTAAATAAAATATAATTAAAAAAATAATCAAACAAAAATATCTTGAAAAATTTTTTTAACCAAATATTTCAATATAATCAAATCTTTTTCTAATTCTATAATTTATTTAAATCAAATATTTGTTAAATTATTTTTAATTTTAACATCAAACACTGTAATTGTTATTAATTTATTCTATTTTTTAAATATTTTTATGTTCTAAAATTTTAGATTTCTTATAAGTAATAAGTAATTTTTATTAGTTAAAACTATAACAAGAATTTTTTTCAAAAAACTGTTGTTTTATTGGTGCAAGTTGTACAAAAAGATAATTTTTGGAGAAATTGAATGCTGGGTCCAAGTTTAAGAGACAAATTGAGTCGTATTCCAATATAAAACAACTATCAATTGTATGAATCAGTTAAACTAAATCCTCTCTAAATTGATCTAAAAGGTCAAAATTTAATTTTTTTTCTTTTTTTTTTTCTTTTTTTTATCCCGATGAATAAATTTCCAAGCCAAATTGACCTATGTTACATAGGTAGAAGCTATTTTTACATAGGTATACGTTCATGCGATGATTTATAAATACCAGTTTAAGTGCCTCTCAAAACAACATAGTAATAGTTATGCTCATCAGGTTTTTTTTCTTTGTATCTTATCTACCGCGAGCTATTGATGCAAAAGAAAACAAGTTACGACAATATTAAAGCAAGTTTTCTAATGCTTGATCTAATGAAAAATTTGGATTTTAAATGTAGC